CTTTCCCCTCATTAACTATCTCAAATGACTTCACAAATAAGGGTAATGTACCTCTTATCTTATCCTTACCCCCATTACCCCAATCCAAATAAGTTCTAAAATAAATAAATTATTAATGAATAGTTTCCATTTGTTTTGTTGTTCTGATGACAATTTGTAAATAAATTATACTAATATGAAGAAAATCAAAGGTTTCATGTTAATTTAGAATGATTATTATGGAAAATATAATATTTTTTTTTAAAAATGAAGAGGATCAAGTCTCATTCTCTAGATCTACTTCCTTCCTTATTTAGTCCTAGTTCTGATGTCACGCGTATGCCTCATTCATATAGTTTATATAGCCTTATTCTCATCTTATTCTTTATTTAAGTAAAGTTTTTTTTAAATTATATAGCCTCATTCAGGATCCTAAATCCTATCCACAATGCTACTCTCCTTATATCCTCCTTCAGATCCTGTCCCCTCTTGCTCCTACTCTATTCTTAGTTTAGACCATATTTAGAACCTTTTGTCCAATCTATCCCTTCTTCGCACTTCATTTCTAGTCCTCTTTTATTCCTCAAATGTTTCTTCTTTTTTCCTTTTCCTTTTTCTCTTTCTCAAACGGCAATTTTTCGTTCATTTATAAAATCCAAGGTACGACTTACAAACAACTTGCCAGGAGGGAGGAGAAGACACCCAAATATGGGGTTGATCCAGCCTTCTACGGAAACACGCGAATTTATGCGCTGCTGAATTACAAAGATCTTCTAAGGGGTTGTTTGGTTACTTTTCTTCACTTTCTAAAACTCACTTTCCTTCACTTTTTGGTGTTTCCCTCACTTTCTTTGGAAGAGTGTTTTTTGTGTTTGTTTGGTAAAGAAACATGGAGAATAATTACTTTCCATCACTTTCTTTAATTTGGTTCAAATTGAAAAAACAAGAAAGTAGTTGATATGTGACTTGATTCGCTCATTTTCTAGTGTTTGGTTCAAACCAAAAAATAGAAGAAATGCTGGTTGTGGTCACCATAGTGTGCTCACCACTCAAATAGAACAAAATATTGTCAACATAAGTGGAGTGAGAATGTTAGAATGTTCTAGATATGCTTAGAATATTCATTCCTTGATTCATTCCTTGATCTCCTCCCTTTTATTAAGGATTGATTCATTCCTTAATCTCCTCTCTTTTATTAATGACTGTATATATTTAAGAGATTTTTATTCATTGAGTGATTCCTTGACTGTAATTACCATGTATAGCTCTTTCCTCATCCCTATATAAAGGGACCGTGTTTCATTGTACGTAAAGTGCTTAAGATACAAAACAATATTCTCTCTAATTCTTATCATGGTATCAGAGCAGGTTTAAATCCTCGCACCGCCGTCCCACCACTACTGTCCACCCACAGATCCGACATCTCATCGCTCCGGACTCACCCGTGGCCTCTGTTTGTTCTATGCGACATCCGACATCTCTAAATTAGTTCACGTGTACTTTATTCCATTTCTGATTGTTCATTATGAAAACATCTGAAATTCCTATTGCTGTTAAACTTGATGGAAATAATTATAGTCATTGGTCTATGCTGTTTCGGAATTTTTTGAAAGGCAAGGGCCTTTGGAAGTATGTCATGGGCAAAAAATCTTGTCCCACTGAAACTGATGCCAAGTTTGACGAATGGGAAATCAACAACAATAAAATATTGATGTGGATCGCCAATACCGTCATCCCATCCATTAGTATCCAACTTGGAAAGTGCACAACCGCAAAGAAAGCTTGGGACTTTCTGGCACAACGCTATGTTCAAACCAACTTTGCCAAAAAGTACAAGCTCGAACAGGATATTCGTGCTCTCTAACAACAGCCCAGTCAGTCAGTTTCTATTTTTCACTCCAGCATGTGTCTTATCTGAGATCAGCTTGAGCTAATGGAACCACAGTGGACTGTTGATATGAACTTGTGGGAAACCTTTTGTGAGGAAACACGGCTCATTCAATTCCTTATGGCGCTCCGAGAAGAGTTTGAGCCAATCAGAGCTTCTATGCTTCACCGCAAGCCCTCTCTTCTGTTGAGGAAGCATTGACAGAACTGATCACCGAAGAAACTCGCAAGGGAATTGCACCGAACATGTCCTCTGTCTTCATCGCGGCCCCTCGCTCACAACAGCCCTTTTCCAAACTAACCACCACCAATTCATCACCACGCCCTCAGCAAGCATCCTCGCATTCATACAAATTAAGACCCAGTGCAATGCAACTACTATAAGGAATTTAGGCATATCGTTAAATATTGTCCTTCTCCTACATCCCGGTACATGTGTGGCCTACAAAAATCCACCAGGCCATCCACCGCGTTCACCTCAACCGACTATCCAGATCATCATACTGTTGCATCTGTCTTCTCTCCTCCATCAGGTATCTCTTCTCCGTGGTTTCTTGATTCTGGAGCATCAAACCACATGACCTTTGACCTAACACAGTTCGAGTCATCCAGACCTATGGGCTCATCTGCACAGATTCATACAGCTAATGGCTCTACGATTGTTGCTAGCCACATTGGCTCCATAAAAACTAACAACGGTTTATCTGTCTCGGATGTTTTTCTTGTTCCTCAACTATCTATGCAACTTTTATCTGTTGGACAGTTATGTGACCTTAGGCTAATCGTTATCTTTCATTCTACTGGTTTTGTTGTACAGGACCGCTCGACGGGGATACAAGTTGGGACCGACCATAGAGTTGGACGACTATATGTGGCAGACAAGTTACAGATTCCATCATCCACCGACTCATCTCTCACGACATTTACCACCAACTCAACCTCCTTTATCTCTTGGCATTCTAGATTAGGTCATGTTTCTTTTCCTCGCCTAAAATACATGATAAATAAAGGATTGTTAGGGCCAGCTACTTCAGACAAAGATCCCTCTTGTATTGCTTGTAATCTGGCCAAACAACCAGCTCTTCCCTTTAATAATAGTACAACTACTTTCCGCTCTCCATTTTATCTTGTGCACTCTGATGTCTGGGGTAAAGCTCATGTTGTCTCTATGGGTGGGGCTAAATATTATGTGGTATTTATTGATGATTATTCTCGATACACTTGGACTTATTTACTTCATTCTCGCTCTGATTTTTTGAAAGTATACATCGAATTTGCTACTATGATTAAAACCCAATTTTCGAAAACTATCAAAGTTTTCAGATCCAACTCCGGGGGAGAATACTTATCCAAACACTTTCTTGAGTTCCTAAAATCACAAGGGACTCTTCCCAAACTATCTTGTCCAGACACCCCTCACAAAATCGGGTTGCAGAACGAAAACACCAATACCTTGTTGAAACAGCTCGTACCCTTCTTGTCTCCGCATCTGTCCTTTCCGTATTATGGGGGGAAGTCATTCACACATCTGCCTTTCTTATTAATCGCATCCCCTCCGTAGTCACCAATGGCTTATCTCCTTTCGAGCGTCTATATGGGACCACTCCTGATTACTCTGAGCTTCATGTCTTTGGATCCACTTGCTTTGTGTTACTCCCGAAATGAGAACGAACAAAACTCACTCCCAAAAATGTCATGTGTGTCTTCCTGGGGTATGAGATTCAACAAAAAGGGTATCGTTGTTACGATCCGGCTGGCAAACAGCTTCACATTTCCCGCCATGTTACATTTTGGGAACATCAACCATATTACACCTTGTCCAAAGATCCCCTCACAAGTACTATGACCTCTCTTCTTATCGATCCATTCCTAGAGTCCCCTAATCTACTAGTGTTAGATCTTATTCCATCCGTCACACCTTCCACTTCTCCTATAGCCGATCTTATGATACCACCTCCCACTCACCCTGTCGCCACTCATATGCCACCACCTGACTTTCCCCCTGCACATATGACTGTCTGTCCACCTGGTGTCAACTCTACATCTTGTTCTGAGTCTGTATCTCTCACCGACGGCCCTCCAATGCGCCTAGTCTGAGATCGACATCCACCAGTCTGGCATTCTGATTATGAATGCTACC